GCTCCACTTTTGAGAGAGGAATCTGAGTAGGTGGCGTGTTCTCTTGACTAAATCCGTTTACCACCTGGCGTAGCCCTCTGCAAATACCCGCGGTTATTGCCGGAAGAAGACACAAGCTTTTCCGATGAGCAAGCAGAACCGCTGGAAACAACACTTCGGGGGAAAGTACGTCACAAGACTGGTATGGTACTACACATTTTTTTAACCACAGAGCAAGAAACCCAGCAAGTAATGTCATGGGCTGGATCGGTTTGACTCCATGCCGTTGGATCGGTTTGACTCCATGCCACAAGAAAGTTCGAAACTTTGTCCCGGCAGCAAAACCATCCTCAACGCCAGCCGTAGTATAAGATTGAGCGTTTGACTTCTCAATGAGCTCATTCACTTCGAGAGTAGTCAGCGGCGATAACACACGAATCGGTTCATTCTGAATGCTGTCCGTATTCTTGAAAAGATAGTCCGAGAACTTTTTCAAACTGATTTGCGGTCGCGATTTCTTGGATAAAGGATCGATACCTGCAAGAGCAATGTGATAATGACAAACAAGGTCCCAGAAGGTATTATAACGGTTGGGAGTCCGCGACTTCAGTTGCTGCAGTTCCTTAGTAGAGGGGAAGTATTCCTGATAAATCATGTTCCCCATTGGAAGACCGGAGATTTTATGCATCTCGTGCAACGCTAATCCTAATTCACCATGTTTAGTTAGAAACGTATTGGCGTCAGGATTGTAGAATTCCAGCAGCGCCAAAAAGTGAGGAACACTCATAGCCAGTCCATAAGTGGTAGCACGAACGGCTGCATATAAGCCACTAGCCTTCAGGTCTTCACCGAATCGATCCAAGATGTAGTGGCTCAAACGGGTCCACCATAGTTTATCCGATGAGTGTATCCAGCCATAACATCGATGACCGGCTACCGGCATCTCTCGGCCCAAAGCCGCAAGCCGATTCCTCACAGTGTTCGCAACAGTGAAGACCTCATCCTTGGGTGGGTCACTCAGTCCAGTAATCCCTGGATGCAAACCTGTAATCCGATTCCGATTACTCGAATTGACCGTACCGCGGGTAATATAACCACAGTGAATGCGCTCGTGTTCTTCTGTTAGCCTCCACGACATCTCCCGATGAAGAGCTTGGCATCGAAGCTCGGCAAGGGAACGGTGGCGAGGAATCGGAGGAAGATATAGATAGCCACCGTCGTCATGATGCAGCCATTGCTCAGAACCAAGAAAAACAGAGGCGGGATCTTCAATAGAATCCCCAAACAAATAGTCTGGCTTTCTTAGCGGATACGTAGAACTCGGATCCTTCACTAACGGCGCATCTGTGATAAGTTGCCTTAAACTCTGGCGTTCTCCTTTCCTTACTAACCGAGGAAGCTCCTCCGATACGTCCGGAGCAAATGGAGGAATTACTGGAACAGGGATGGGCTCATCGGTAAAGGCATAAGCCTCACTACATCGACCCTCCACTGAATGAGCATTGAATTCCCTCGAGAGAAAATCAACTAAGAAAACAATGCACATTTATCAGGTATAATCATTAACGCCTATGTTAAAAATGGTACAGGCGTCGAACTCAACTCACAAATTGTGAGATAGAGTCACGACCTTGTAAATGGTGAGACGATCTCAATTATATTGCGCACGCAAATGACAAAGCATATTAACGTGCGAATGACACGGTGATATACCTAAGCCTATGTGATGTAACACAACATGAGATCGCCCCATGTCATACTAAGACGTGTCTTGACTAAGTAAAACACGACTTGCGAAGCGTCCACTCCCAACGAAGGAGAGTGGCGGCTCTTCTCAATTGTCTCACAAAGGAGAGCAAAGCGAGGATATCATACCAGGTACATATTCATGATGGTTTATCTAGGTGAGACGATTAAAGCCACACTATACATACGAAGCACGGGATATACTGTCGCATGAATAACACGACAATATATCCGCCCCTCGGAGTATAGTACAGCGAGAAATCGCCCCAAGATAGTTCAGCCATGTCTTGACCAAGCAAAACATGACTAGTAAAGCGTCCACCCCCACGAAGGAGAGTGGCGGCTCTTCCCAATTGCCTCACAAAGGAGAACAAAGCGGGGATGCAAAATGCAGCATGATATCTCAAATGTATGAATGAAAGAGGCGGTGATAAATATACCTGTGCAGCTAAATGGCGCCGGCTCAGGCGACTGAGTCGAGGAACGGCCTCGAATAACGCAAGATCTCTTAGGCGACATATCTGCAGAGAGAATTATCAGGACAATTACGGAAAATGGAGAAATGTCAGATTAATGAAAGATAAAATGGTGCTCCGATCAGACTTAAGTAGTGGACTCGATACCGATACAGTTTCAACCCACGACCCATCATGCAACAAATTAAGCCAGAATTTCAGGGAATTGGTTAAAGCCGCCTGCGGGGCCAACAATAAACCACGACGTGTTTACAGAATAAAACTTCTGGCCATAACCGCATGTGAAATTAGGATGTCAGATCAAGTCTAAAATCAGTCGCAGTTCAACATTGGGTACTCGGTCATCAACCAAAGTTAGAAACCTATGTTTTGGGGTTTTCACCCATAACCGAATTCAAAGACCAGGACTTAAGAATCAAAACTTAAGCATTCCAACTCAAAGTGAACCCCCATCAAAGGGTCGACTACATGAAGAGGTCCAGAATCCCTGAGCCAGAGGTTTCAAACCAGAATGTTAGACACCGGGCATGTATGGGCTCAATTGTGAGATTTTATTCCAAGACCAACCAACCATTCAAGAACCCGAAATCAAGAACCAATTGATGGAGCAGGAAAACCTAAAACTGAACCCCCAAATGGTCGGTCATCACACAAGAAATCAGTCTTGGTGTTTCCCCCAAATCAGAAAAGCTATGGTTTCGGCTAAAACTCTATAACCGAAGTTCAAAAAGTTAAATGGGTTCGAATTGAAGATATAAAGAACGAGGCATACCTAAAATCCGATCAAGAACAGAGATGACGAACCCACGTCGCAAATCCCCTTCAAGATTCAAATCAAAACCCTAAGTCCCCAAACTGAGGCTTCAAGATTCTAGTCGAGCTCACAAATCAAATGAGGAAGGCTGGAAGAAGCTGAAGGATTTGAAAAGAGGAATAAAGGAGGGAAGAGAGAAATTTTCGAACAGAGAAAAAAATCGAAACGAATGAAGAAGAAGAACAGTCGTTCTTTTAAAGTACCGCCCGAAGGTGACTCGCAAAAGCCGAGTCACCACCAGCTGACTCGCAAAAGCCGAGTCACCACCAACTGACTCGCAAAAGCCGAGTCACCACCAACTGACTCGCAAAAGCCGAGTCACCACCAACTGACTCGCAAAAGCCGAGTCACCACCAACTGACTCGCAAAAGCCGAGTCACCACCAACTGACTCGCAAAAGCCGAGTCACCGCAAAGCTGCCTCGCCAGTTCCGAGTCTTTTGGGTATTTTGGTCCTTGGTATACAATATCCATATTTGAACTCCAATGGGTATACGAGTTTAAACTATTTCCCACCCTCGACGGGAAGTTCCTGGAGAATATCGTATACAATATTCTTAAAGATAACCCGGCGACCTCCGATAAGTATATGAGGCTAAACTAACTTTCAGAACTCCTAAGAGTATACGAGTATAAACTGGTCCTCTCTGCTTCAAATGCATGACTTTTGGTCAACGTCTGTCAAGGTGTCACCAGATGGGAATTCCCCAACAACGAGGGTCAACTCAACGTCAAATCAACGACGCCGTTTAGTTTCAAGATTTCAACAGCGGTCAGACGATAAACGCAGAGCCGTAAAAACTTCATCTATTCGACAGAACTCTGAATAGATTGAGGGCTGAAGGAGTCAAGAAATGAAACCCATGACAGGTCCTTCTGCAAATATAGCCTATCATATCCAAAGTATTTCAGGCTCCTCTATAAAAGAAACGAGACTGAAATACTTTGGAGGGGGTATCTATAGGCATTAAAAATTGCCCATAGGCCCTCAAACACAGTGCAAGACAAGGAAAAGACGATAAATGTTATTATCCAAGTCAAAGGAATTCATCCAAAATCAGCAAGGTGACGAAGCATACGCAAAACAAGGAAGCTGGAAGAATAACGAAGCTCGCACAGTTCCGAGTCACCAGGAGCTGACTCGCACAGTTCCGAGTCACCAGGAGCTGACTCGCATAGTTCCGAGTCACCAGGAGCTGACTCGTACAGTTCCGAGTCACCAGGAGCTGACTCGCACAGTTTCGAGTCACCAGGAGCTGACTCGCACAGTTCCGAGTCACCAGGAGCTGACTCGCATAGTTTCGAGTCACCAGGGGATCGGAGATCTGAGATTAAGAAGGCGAGGTGCTGTCAAATTGACCAGTCAACCACGAATTTCAGAGGAGAATCATCAGAGCTTGGCGAATACTTTCATAAAGAAAGCCCCTTCGAAAGGTTTGTGATTCTTTTCCCTTCTTTCCTCCGGATTAAACTTGGTTTTAATCTCGAGAAGAGCCACAATCTCGCTTGGTCGTGATTGTCGCTTCCGCAATTGTTTCCTTCGTGAAACAAGAGCGTAATTATATTGTCGATCGGCTTTGGTCTGTGGTGGTCCACGGACTAACGCGTCCCCGGCACAGGCAAAGATCCCACGCAAAGCAGCGGGAGATAAACTACTGCTGCGTTTTGTTTGATAAAGTTGTAATCTTTATTTTTCGTTGTAAGAAGATCTTATAAAAAGATCAACTCTCTTTTTAGTTTGAACTTGTAATCGATAAACGGTGTAACAGGTTTGAAAACAATGGAAAAGGAAACTTTTGACACAAACAGTCCCCACATCACTTGCCCCGACGATAAGGTTTAGGGTACTAAACCTTTTCCTTGTTGATTGTGAGGATCATCTTTAGTGATCTTCAGCATTGCTTTGGGGATGGGAACTACCCCCGCCGGTGCTTGAACCTCTGGGAGATCTCTTCCAAAACTCAGAGTGATCATATTTGTGGTCACCTATTTCTGTACCCTCTCCTTTTTTACAACTCCTACATCGTATAGGGCTTGACGCTTATCCTTGAGGATATAGCATTTGGAGGTATGGTGGCCGAGGAACCTGTGATACACGTAGTAGCCCGGTTCATCGATTTTGTTTGCCTCCTCAGGCTTGGTTACTTCCGGCAGCTTAATCATATTGCTCTTGAGGAGCATGTCGAGGGTTGCTACCACTTGGTTATCCCTGAAGTCGTATTGCCTCGGGGGACGTTGTTCTAATGCCCTAGGTTTCGGCCTTTGGGTCGGTTTGGGCGCCGGAGCGGAGTCAACGTTAACGGCCATGATCTCTTTTCCTCTAGCTCGAGGAGGATTCTTTGGCGTGCCTGGTTCTGTAGGTCCCTTTTTGGGGTAAGACTCCTTGGCCTCGAGCCTCTTGATCATATTCTCGACCTGTTCGCCCTGGCGAACGAGTTCTTTCCAGGTTCGGGTTTCTACAGTGCTAACCTTGGACAGAATAAGGATTGAAAGGTTGTTGCGGCACATCTTAATCAATGTCGCTTCGGAGACTTGGTCTCGGCAATGAACTAATCGGTTCCTGAACCTCTTTACGAAGTCATTGATTGACTCCGACTTCTTTTGCTTCTCGGTGAGGAGGGTGGCCATCGACACCTCGGTATCATCATCGAAGAAGCGGGCTAGGAAGAGTTTTTCCGCATCAGCCCGTGACTTGATAGAGCCTGGTTCTAACTTGCGGAACCATTTGAAGACTACATCTTTGAGGGTGCCGATGAATAGTCGGGTAAGGATGGCATCATTCCCGGTGAGGAATCCGGTCTGAGCCATAAAGTAGTAGATGTGATGTGAAGGGGAGCCCTTACCATCAAATTGTACCAAACTAATGGGTTTGAATTTTGCCAGATAGGGGATCGTTTCCCACTCAATAGGGTACGGCCTGACCACCCCCAGTTTATTCATGTTTTGTTAGTGCTTTAAGGCATTGAGTTGCCTTTGGAACTCGTTGAATCTCTTGTCTCAGGTAGTACCCCAGGAGCACGACATCCCTACCAACGACTTTGAGGAGTGATCCGACAAGAGTTCAACATTATTCTCCTGTTCAGTCATCTGATTAGGAGTAGATCCCTATTCCTTGCCTCCCGCCAGCCTCCGTGGGGTACGCATAACCTTCTTCTTCTTCTTTTTGTTCAGAAGTTGCTCCAGCATGTCTCTTATGGACTCAATGGCGACCTGATGTTCTTTGAACTTTTGGGCGATCGTCTGATCACTCAAGGTTTCAGCCATGTGCACCCTTGCTGAGTCGCCATGACTCGAGTGTGATGTCTGAGACATGGCCGCCGCTGAGCAAACTTCCTCTTCACCCCCGGAAGGGGATGCGAGGAGAGCATAGTCGAGCTGGATGTTTACTCTCGTACGACTACGGGTGTGTAGGAATATACCACCACGCTTGCGTTAAACCAGCGGGTGGCTGGGCCCTAGGAAGGAGTCCAAATCTGGAGGATATGGAAGTACATTTTTACCCTTTCCCATCATGTTAACAGTAGAGGATAAGAGTTCTAAATCATTGACAGCGCCCTTCTTTGGTGGCCATGCCTTTGACGAGAAGATCTCGATTGGGAAGGGCGTTGAGTGAGCCTTTTGAAGACTGAAGGTTTCATCGTTCCTACACACTGGCAGTCGGTAAATACCGTTTGGATAAGACTTTCGCAGTGACACTGAGGATTCGCCTCGCGTATGGTGCATTTGCGAGTTAGGTAACCCTGGAGATCTTCCGTGGGTGGTTGGCGATAACCCTCAGCATCAGAAGGGACAACCATGTGATCGCATGAGAGAGGTTTAGATGAACCCTCTTGCGTACACTGGGTGGAATGGTTGAGCATTGGAGTTAGGCGAGTTCGCCTTAACAAGCGAGTCTTTGCACTTGGGCGAGCTCCTATTTGCGGGCGAACTTTGACCCTTTGTTCATGCAGGCGAGATGGTGAGGTATCGCCTACTATTTTGCCTTTGTCGTTAAGTCTCTTTGGCTTGCAATGTTTACCCGTTGAGTGGACTTGGTGAGGCCCGCTTGACTTTGATGGTTTGCCTGCTTGGGTATGCTCGCCTGCTCCGAGCAGCCTATTTGTATCAAGGATATGACATGAGAAACAAAGTTCGCTTAAGGGGGTAGGCTCGCCCACTTTGACTAGCTCACCCGAACGGTTGAGTTTGTCAGAAATATCGGACTCGCTAAAATGGGAGATATTACAATCAGAGCGAATTCCGCCTGAATATGAAGGTTCGCCTGATTTAGCAAGCCCACTAGTATTGGGAGGGTTATTTCTCTACCTTACGCTTTTTAGACATGAATAATGATTCAGGCCATCATAGGAGGTGAAGGTTCGGGCCTCCTGTTGGGCGAGGACTTGTCGTCGCCGCTGACGGACACTTCTAGAGAGAGGTGCGTCCATGCGGATCATGACGGAGTGGTCTGCGCCAAGCTGAACCACCATCTCTTCCTGAGCGGGAGTCTGCGAGGGTCATTTGGCAACCCCTCTGGTAGCCCTTTGCCCTGTGTTCTTGACCTCTGGTTTGGCCTTGATCAATTTGGAGGGAATAGGCTCCCCTAACGTGACTCAGATAGTGTCCTCAGGTATGGAGGCTTCGACTGTTTGAGGTCGGCCTCTACGCACGACTCTGTGGCATTTGCGGGATGCATTGCCACCAGAGGAGGATGAAGACAAGTACTCTTCGTACCTAGCTTGGTTGAACTTGATTTCTAGAGACTTCACGGTCGTCCCGACATCAACCTTGTCGAACTACGCTACCACCATTTCGGTTGAGGAAATATCTTCTCCCATTGTGGTCGCCATCTTTTATAGGTGTAAATTTTATTTTCTCGAAATGGAGATATCATTTGTATTGATAAGAATAGCTTATTACAAACTAATGAATTGAAACTACAATAGAAACGGAGGGTAGGCTCTCCTTGTTTAACGTGGGGACTTTGGTAGCGATAGGACGCCTCGCTCTGTTCTCGCACAGAGTCTACTTCCCTTGGATGATTCGATTTATGTTGCTGGTGAGCTTCGGTACGCAGTAGAAGCTAGTGTTGGTCGAGTTCGGGTTTCTGAGTTCAGTGGCATTTAGGGCCCGAAGCTAGGGAAGATGCTACAGTACAAAGATCATGCAAAGAGCCTGTCGTCAACTCAGTTGAGCGTTGAGAGCTGATGGTCCGACTAACTAATTGGATTAATCAATTAACTATGAACCTCTTTCCTGTATCTAGGAGAGGTTATTAAATAGAGGAGAGATGATGTGATCACTCCCTTGAATCATGGGATGTAACCATGTACTATTGGGAGATACCATGCTTCTCACTTGTACCATAAGCGGCTGCTTAGTGGGCTCGAAATACTATGCTTCTCCCTTTCACATCATGGGAGATGGGAAGGCCCATCCCTGTACATGATGTTGTGGCCGCTAGGTACTCTGGCGAGTCTGGCGAGTTTACCAATCGCAGGCGAATGCGGCTCTTGAGGAAACTTAACTCATGCCAGAGAGTCAAGTGTGCAGGCGAGTGTAGCGACATCGTGGATTCGACTGGTCGCTCGCACTATGGACGGTCGCTTGATGGGCTTAGAGTACTATGCTCCTCCCCTTCACGTCATAGGAAATGGGAAGGCCCATCCCTGTACGTGATGTTATAGCCGCCAGGTACTCTGGCGAGTCTAGTGAGTTTACCAATCGCAGGCGAATTTGACTCTTGAGTAAACTTAACTTGTGCGGGCGAGTCAAGTGTGCAGGCGAGTTTCTAATCGCCTAGCAGATTGCCATATGTGTAGGAAAATTTGGTAATCACATGGTCTTGGTTGTGCTGGCGAGTCAAGCACATGGGTAAACCCAATTTTCAAGTCGTGTGGGCGACTCGAATACGCAGGCGGATTTCAGGCTTATCTGCAAAGGTAATTTTTACCGCCTACAAGGTCAAAACACCTGTGTTTTTTATCTCAAACACAAAAGTCAAGACCTGCATTTTCAATCTCAAATACAAGGGATTAAGACCCGCATTGTCAGCTTTAAACGTAAACGCTAAAATTTGTGTTCCAATCTTAAAATGCAAAGATCAACCCTGTGTTTCATAATTAACGTCGAGGCTTATCTTCACGTTTCAATCAGAAGAAGATGATTCATCTTCCTCGTCGTCATCGACTCAGAACCCATCTAGAGTTAAAAGAAACTTGTCAAAACAAGTTAACACGTCCATACTTACCATAGCAAGCAGGAGCATGCGACGACAATAGTGACGGCGTGGTCGTGGAGGCATGAACACCACCGGCGTCCTCAACCGGTGGTATTTCCAAAGTTATCCCTATGACTTTCTTCGAAACAGAACTCATCCTTCTTGGTACCATGGTCGTCGGTGGTTGGAGATGGGTAGAGATCATCGGAAATCTTGAAGGAAATGAGGACTCTCATTCAGGAGTTAAGACAAAGATGAAGAGTTGATGGAACTCTTAAATTCAACTCAAGGGGTTTATTTATAATAGCAGCGAAACTGTTAATTCGGTGTAGGATTCTAGAATAGAATCCCAACCACCTAAATGCATTCCCAGCATTAAAAGATAAGGCGGTTAGCCTTCTTAAATGCAATGATCATGGTTGCATTCTAATTTCGTAAACGCCAAGCATAACTCTACGTTTTTAACTCTTAAACATAGAGCTAGACCCACGTTTCAAATCTTGAACTTGTGTATCGACTCTGTGTTTCAAGTAATCAAGTTCAAAATTTACTTTTGCATTTCAGATCTCAAACGATGGGTTCAACTCGCGTTTCCATCATGACAATTACTCTCATAAAAGTCATGTATCACAAACTATTTTGACAGAGTGTTTACAAAACATCTATGCACCTTCAATTGGGTCCAAGCCATATCAGTTGACAGCATTCCAAATGTCGTCAAGTTAACATTACACTTACGATGACCATCATCCCCATAGGGTTTGGATTCAGCTTGCATCACCCCTGATGTAACAATAATTCCTCTATCAAAATCAACTTATCGACTCTCATCCACAGAGCGATAAGTCCCCAAAATAGCTCAAAATTGCAATTAATTTATCAACTCCCTTCAATAGAGTGATAAATTTCCCAAATCTTGTTCAAGTCACAAGTACCAAAACTCATCACTTCTGATGATAAACTCATTTAGCAATTCTCCCCAGTGAGACGCTAATTTCCAAAATCTTATTCAAATCCTAAGTACACAAAATTCCCATCATGTTAATATCACACCTTTGACAATCAACTTATCGACTCTCTCCAATAGAACGATAAGTCCTCAAAGTTACCCCGATTACAACAAATTCCTATCACGTTAATATCACACCTCTAAAAATCAACTTATCAATCCTAGTCAATAGGATGGTACATCCTCAAAGTTACTCCGATCGTAACAAATTCTTGTCACGTTAATATGATACCTCTAACAATCAACTTATCGACTCTCTCTAATAGAGCGATAAGTCCTCAAAGTTACCCCGATCGTAATAAATTCTTATCACATTAATATCTCACCTCTGACAAAATCAACTTATTGATTCTTTTCAATAGAGCGATAGGTCCACAAACTCGTCACGTTAATATCACACCTCTAACAATCAAAATTACTTATCAATCCTCTTCAATAGGATGATAAGTCCACAAATTGATGTTTCATTAACACTATACCTCTAACAGTTAAAACCCCCTTTCAACTTGTTACTCTTTTGCATATGAGTATCAAGTGTTCATAAAATCCTTAGCGGATTAAACTTTTCTAGAATTACCCCGAGTGGTAATAAAGAAAAGA